ATTAAAGGCCTGCCGAGGATAGGTACTCTGTGGGGGACTTGGTGACAGTAGACCCCGAGAGGGCAGTGGGGTAGAGTACTGAGTGTCCACTCATTGCCCTGCTGTGCACATGGGGCAGATCTCTGTCCCCACTTGGTCTTCTTATCTGCAAAATGGGAGTGGCAGCCCCCACCTGGATGGGCTGAGAGAGTGCATGACTGGTGCGAGCACCCTCGCAGAATGGCACACATTAGTGCAAGGCTTTGGTGAACAAAGGAAGTTGGGAAGCTGGAAGCAGCATGCCTTGGTGTGATGTGGGCTGTTGTGGGGTGATCCTTGCTCCACAGTTATCCCCAGCTCTGAGCTTCCCCTCCTGGGTTTCAGTAAGCCTGATGCTGAGGAAACCCACTGTTACCGGTACTGCTGGCCACAGAGTGGGTGCTGGTTTCGTTCTGGAACCTGATCAGAGATGGTCCTAGAGCGACAGGCCAAGGCTGTCCTACTTGTGAGGGCTCACATCCTAGGCATTTTCCCAAGGGACATATACTAGGAAAGTCCCTTCCTTCATGATCTACAGGCTTCTAGGGAACCCTAAAAACATTTCTAGATTTTTGGGTGGTTTTTAGGAATAAGAAGTTAAAGGGCAAGCTGGGTGTGATGTCAATCCCAGCAGCTAAGAGGGCTTTGGCCAACCTGAGCCAGAGTGAGGCTTGTTTCAAAATAAAAAAAAAAAATTAAGGACTGGAGGTGTACCTTGGAGATGGAGTGCCTGCCTAGTATGTGAGGACCGAGTTCCATCTCTAGGATTACAAGAGAAGGGAGGGAGAAAAGAATATATTTATATTATTTTGTGTGCATGGGTGTGAAGATGTCAGATAGCTCACACTGGAGTTACAGACAGTTGTGAGTTGTCATGTGGGTGCTGGGAATTGAACCTGAGTCCTCTGGAAGAACAGTCAGTATTCTTAACCACTGAGCCATCTCTCCAGCCCCAAGACCTTGGTTTCTTTAATCTTGATCCTGAACAAGTGCAGCTAGGTGATGAGGACACAGCAGGAAGAGTGGAGCTCCAGGCCAGGCTCCCTGGAGGAGCGTTGCCTGAGGACTCCAAGTGACTTGCTCTCTGCTGTGTCTTGAGGTGGGATGGAACCTGGCCCAGAGGTCTGTGCTGTTTATTCAAAGGATGTAAATTACCAAAAGGTATTACCCTTAGTGTGGCACACTGCAGGGGCAGTGAGACAGCAGGTAAAGTTGCCTGCTGACCTAAGTTTGAATCCCAGGACCCACATGGTAGGAGGAGAGAGCCAAATCCTGCAAGGCCCTCTGACCTCCACATGCACACTGTGACACGTATGAGCACACAAATACACACAGAACAAATAAAGGAATTTGTTTTGTTTGAAACAGGGTTTGTCTGTATCGTTCTGGCTGCCCTGGAACTCACTATGTAGATCAGGCTGGCCTAGAACTCTCGGAAATCCTCCTGCCTCACAAGTGCTGGGATCAAAGGTATGCACTGCCACATCTGGTAATAAATGTACTTTTTTTTTTATTAGAAAGAAAATTATCAATCCCAGGTGTCGCCCCCCGCCCCCCCCCTAACGCCCTACCTATCCCATCCTCTTTCTGCTCTCCAGGGAGAGTGAGGCCTTCCATAGGGGCTCAAAAGTCTGTCATATTCTTTGGGATAGGGCCTAGGCCAACCTCTTTTTTTTTTTTTTTTTTTGATGGCATTGTAAACTGGATGATGTTTTTCTTCCGTGGATAGCCAAACTGGAGTTTTTCCCCATGATCCTCCACTGTGTCCAGCCTAGGCCTTTTCCCAGTCAAGCTCTTGTCTCAGCAGGCACCCGCTCTCGCCAAGCTGGCTCTCATGTCCCAGGTGCTTTCCTATTTAATGGCTGTCATGGCCGCAGAACAGTGCCTGGCTCACCAGATGCTAACAAAGAGCACAGCAAGGAATGCCAGGAGGGAGGGGACACGGGTGCTCTGACAGTGCCAAGGAAGTGAAGTATGATTAATTCTTATCAACAAGAGACTCACGGAACTGGGTGTGGTGACACATGCCTGTCACTCCGGCATTTGGGAGGCTGAGGCAGGGGAATCAGGAATGCAGGGTCATTCTTTTTTTTTTTTCTTCTTTTTCTAATTAATTATTTTAATGTGTATGGGAAGTTTTCTCTGCATGTATGTTTGTGTACCACATACATGCCCGGTGTCCACTGTGGCCAGAAGAGGATGTTGGATGCCCTGCAACTGGAGTTATAGATGGTTGTGAGCCACCTTGTGGGTGCTGGGAATCGAACCTGGGTCCTCTGGAAGAGCACCTAGTGCTCTTAACCACTGAACCATCTTTCCAGCACTATTCTTGACTACTTAGTAAATTCAAGCTTGGGATATAGATAAGACTCCATCTCAAAACACCAGAGAGAGAACAGAGAGGAAAGGGAGAAGAGGGAGGGAGGAAAGGGGAAGGGGGAAGGAGAGAGGGGCAAAAAGACAGAAAAACTGAAAGAAGAAGAAAGCCCAACTGAACAGCCATACTTCCAAAGTCATCACCAAAGAATCCCACCGTGAACTTATCGAAAAATTAAAAGAAACAGGAAATTTGATCAGCTCACCTCTTCTCATGGAGCCTGAGAAGTGGGACACCGGAAGACCAATGCTTCTTTAATAATGAAATAATTTATTTGTTAATGGACAGACACATTAAGTTTACACACAGCAAGGAGTCTCTAAATCATGATGGTTTCTAAAAACACAAGTGCTAAGCCCCCCCGCCCCCCAAAGAGCACCATTCTCCCCAGTCTCAACACAGGTTTACATTGGCACCATATTTACATAAAGAAACATCTGGAAACGTTTCCCATTCTTCACCTGCGGCTCTCCTGTGGAGGCTGTTCACCTTTAGAAAGTTGGTTCCCCAAGCTAGCCCCTCAGCAACACAGCAGGAGCACCAATTCTAGGGACCGTGGTGGAGGCAAGCATGGCATTTAGATCAAAGCTAAAATGCGACAGCCTGCTTGGCCCACTGTCCTCCCAGATAGAGTAAGAACTCAGGGTAAGAGATCCAGATAGATCTCAGGACAGAGCGCCTTCCTAATTCTCTGTGTGATCCTGAGACACCATACACGCTCAGTTCCCTTGGCCATCCATGATCCAAATGTAATGGTGCCAATCAATTGTTTCTTCTTTTAGAAGACCACAGTAAAAGAAAATTATGAATAGTATTGATGAATCACATTTCATACCACCTCAACCCAGGATCTTTGAAAACACCCATGCTGCATGCTCCAGTGCTCTGGGCACACAGAACGAGAGAAGCCAGCACCCAGCAAAGGGTGCAGGGTTGTCTTCTCCCAAAAAGCACTATAGTAGCTACTGAAATGCCAGAGACAGAGAAATCACAGAAAACACACAGGGATGGTAAAGTAGGGAGACAGAACAATGTAGCCACCCCAGTAAAGAAACAGAATACCCAATTTCAGTGATAAATTACAGAGCACAATAAAAGTGGTATCCCTGCCAGTGCAGCATGGTATAAAACCTTAATGTGTCTATATATGTTCTTCAAAAAATAAGTTCTCTCTTGAAGGGACAGGGAAGAAGGCAAGAGGGGAAAAGTCCACAAAACTCATCGTCAAGTCCCCAAGATATTGCTAGAAGGTTTTGAGTATCATATGCCATCTCCTGTGTTCTTAGACCCCAAATGCCCGTGGCCACAACAAAGATGGGGAGAAAGGCCACAGGAAACACAGGGAAACCTCAGCTTCTGGTGAACACAGCAGGGGGTAGATGAAAAACAACTACTTTAAAGCCAACCAATAAGAGTACTCCAGCAGCCACTACAAGGTTGGGCCTGCCCAACTCACTGTCCCTGCTAGAGTTATTCCAGCCATGGGTCAAGAGGGAGAATCTAGGTCCTGCTGAGACCCTGTTGGCCTTGCTAAGGCAGCAGCAGGTCTCAAGGACAGAGGCAGCTGGCCTTCAATTTGAGATACCTGGTCAGCGAAAGAAAACTCAAATCAAAACATGCTGGATGCTGGATGTGTACCCCAAACCAGTCCTGTGCTTTCCAGGCCAATGCAAATGCTTCTTTGTAGCATGAAATTAAGTTGGTGGCAAGCCCGTTTTCCCACTTGCATCCTGACAGTGTCAGTGAGTGCAGCTTGGATTTTAGTTTCAAAAGGAACTTTCACATAAAAATATGCAAGTGCTTTCATTGACACATTTCTGTTCATGTACAATGTCAAAGTCTTAATGGCTGAGATTCACACCATTTGCCCCTCGCCCCCAATCAACCTTAATAGAAAGGCTTTAAGAAAACAAAAGCCACCCTCAAGACTAGCTCTTGGCTGACATGCTGGTGATCAGTGAAGGAGAGACTGGGGTGGGAATTAGCTGCCCTAGGCTGAACTTGCAGGTCCCCCCAAAGCTACAGTTTTGGTCAGAAAAAAGCCTGCCTATTATACTGGCTCTGTCTGTCTCAAACTTCCGAAGCCAGGCCTGACCTTGGCAGTTAGCCTGTCACAAGTGCTTTAAAAATACAGAGATCTGCCACACATAGATGCAAGGACCAGACAGACGAACAGGGCAAAGGTCAAATAATTACTGCTTTATGTTGGGACAGTACACTTCATATTTCAACCAAAAGATAAAAAATAAAAAAATAAAGAAAAGAAAAAAAAGCAGTTTAACTCAAAGGTGAAACAATTAAACACAGAAAGTAAAGGCATCTCTCAGACGCCTTCTAAGGGAAAGAAACAAGTGCACAGTTTTCTTCCCCACCCACCCTGTGCAGCCCACAACTTCTCCCGTAGTCTTGACTTTCTGAAGTCTTGGATGCAGTGAGCAGACACGATGCCCTCAGGGTCTGTCTGGTGGGGACTGAAGGGGACCCTCAAGGCACAGCTGTATCTTCTTGACAAAGGACAGACCTGGCCAGCTCCTTGAACCTCTGCTCCCCCTGGGGAAGGGGCTTTACAAATGCAAATGGATCCAAGCTGTGTTTTTGGGCAGATTGGGGAAGGGGCTTTACAAATGCAAATGGATCCAAGCTGTGTTTTTGGGCTAATTTTCAGCTGGTATTGGGGTAACACTCCAACAAGGGGGCGGGAGGCAAAAACAGGGCTTCGGGATCATTAAGGAGCCCATGACTTCCACAGACCAGGGAGTGGCCTTGTGTGGTCAGGACTGCTCTCTCTGCCAGGGTCTGTTTGCATCTGAGGAGAGCTACGTGACTGTAGCCACCTGCTGCCAAGTTGGCCACGGAGCCTTTAGGTGGCACCTGAGGATCTCAGGAATGTTCCACTACTCCATGACACAGGCTCGGCTCTGAGCAGGGCAGATTTTACAAATGGTTCAGATTCAATGAAAAAGATTCATCAGAGGCTGAAAACACCCAGACCTCAAAATACAAATGCAAAAATAGTCAGGGGAATAAACTAATTTTGTAGACAGCTACATACAAAGTTTCTAGAACATCTATAAAAGCAGTCATAAGAATTTATATTCCATTACATTAGTTTATATAAAATGAATAAATAGTATTTATAGGTTTTGTGTGTCTTATGTACATACACATGTGCTCTGGTTTAGCTTAAATAAAAATGCCACAAGGGAAAAAAAATCATCCTTTTAAGCCATCAACCCAGAAGTCTCCAGAAGGAAGCTTCCAGATGTGTTCAAAAATAACTCAACAGGAGGGTTTTGGTGGCAGGGGAACCCTCCTGTTTACTTGCCACAGAGAATAAATGTGGCCTCTTTCTCTCAGAGACAGTGGCTACTAGCTCAGCCAGTGCCAAAACTCAGTTATTGCTGGGAGTCCAACAGGAAAACAGGTTGGAGTGGGACCGTGGGGACAAAGAAGCATAATCACTTTTGTTATGTGGGCAATGGGCTCTCATCTATCTCTGAGGTAGGACAATGTTCCAGAGACAAGTAGCATCAACAAACTCGGGGCGTGGGGGTGCCTTGAGACACAGCACACAGCCAGGCCCCCAGAACAGCACGCAGGGGGCACGCTGCTCTCCTGAGCTGCCAAGTCCCCGCTCTTAAGCGGGGACACTGTGGCATTGCGGCTGGGCCGCAGCAGGGCTTGCTGGAGGTATTCCTGGCTTCTCAGTGCTCTTCAGTTTTGCTTTCAAAGCTTCCTTTGGGGTTTCTGAAATTGAGTTCCCTTTGAGAAGTTTGTTTGCTTCGGTTTCTTATGTGCCAGACAAAGCTTGAACTTCTCTCTTGGGCAAGTACCATCATGAGCCGGAAAACTAAGAAAGACCTTGCCAGCTGCAGGAGGACGGCGCACAGGGGGCTGCTGAGAGGTGACACTTGCTTAGGGCTAGGATTCTTGGGTGCTTCCGGTTGACTGGAATGTACGGTCTCTCAGCGTCGACATGGATGGACAGAGAAGCTATTGACCGCACTCAGAACCGCAGCCTATGTGCTTTCTGCAGAATGGACAGAGCTGATTTTGGTCAAGGTGGTACGTGAGGTTTGCGTGCAAGGGCGTCTGGGCAGGTCTGGTACACTACCTAACCAGGTGTGGTGGAGAGGACCCTTGGGCTCTCTCCTATAGCCCAAGACCTGTCTTGTGCCCGTCCTGGAGCTTGGCTCTCTTGACGCTGGCACTGGAGTAGCCCTCGTCACTGCCCAGGCTCTGCATGCTGCCTCGCTCATCAGAGTCACTCACACTGCTGCTCCAGCCCAGCTCGCCTGTGAGGTAGTCTGTGCTCTCAACGTCTACATCCCCGTCCACGTCCACATCCAGCTCTTCTGCAGGGGATGAGACACATGGGTGAGATCTGCTGTAGAGCTCTTGGTACACCTGAGTTTCCCACATTCCTTCTTGGGCATGGCTATCTACCTCTTGCAGAGGGGGCTACACGGGTCCTGTTGCTCGGCTCCTGAAGGCCTGAGCCCTGTCTTTTTTTTTTTTATAATTTTTATTGCATTTTTATTTAGTGTGTGCATGTGTGTGCACAAGCAGAGGTTAGAGAACAACTTTCAGGAGTTGGTTCTCTCCTTCTACCATTAGTCCCAGGGATCAAACTCAGGCTTAGTGACAGGTACCTTTACCCACTGAACCACCTTGACAGCCCCTATGAGCCCTGTCTTATCTGCTCTGTGATTAGCTCTGTTGCCTGAAGCCCCGTTAGCAGGTGTAACTCACCCCTGTCTGAGTCAGAGTGCTCTGAGGACACCACAGAGCCCACGCTGTCCATCCGAGGCCTCTCAGCACCCAGCTTCTCCAGCTGCCGCTTCAGGTACCGCTGTTCCCGCTGAAGCTGGTCTATTTGGTTGACAGCTTTTCTGTCACAATCTTCAAGTTTCTGCAAGTCAAAGAGTGGTTGTTGAAGTCCATGGCGTGTGTTGTACATCAGTAAAGAACCTATACCTGCTCTACCAGGAGACAGGTGGCATGTCTCTCGTCAAGCTGTTCTTCTAGACTTGGAGTTGGCTGGCCAGTTACTGTGGGCTTTGTTTAACTTCTGCATGTACTGTGGGGCTGGCCTGTCACACAGACACAGGGACAGTTCGACAGTTTGAATCTTACAGCCCTTAACCTTGGTAACCCAAAATACTACAGACCCTGACTTGGTCTCCATATCTACAGCAACCCTCTGAACACCTCTCAGAACTGGAAAGCCACACAGCATGTGAGCTATGAAACACTTCTATTTAAAAAGACGTTTATCCCAGCATAGTCCCAATGACAAAGCAAATTCTCATGTCATGGCAAACCCCAATTAACTTCTGATGCTAGCGGAAATGAGAGCCCTTTTAAAGTCCTGACTCCGAATTGTCCAACAGAAGCTTCTGGAAGCGCAATTCCACAGATGACTTATTCTTACAAATCTGTCCCAAGCTCCTCACATTTGCAGTTAATTAATGAAGAGTGTGTAATTGTAGCTGTTTTGCTTCCAACTGAAGCTCTCTCTCAGAGCTGTCTTGTATGCAGGCTGCTAACGGTTAATAAACTGGTATTTGTCTAAGCAAGCTATGGCTAAATGGTGATACTGGCTGTGGCTCAGTAGTGCACAGAGAGTCAGCACAGACAGACTTGTCATGAGGTTCCTAGGTTCCCTCGTGGAGCTACAGGATAATTCTGGAGACATCCAGCCACCACACAGGACACTGACAAATGTGCACCATGCCAGTCAGTGAGTCAGGGGCCCTGTGACAAGAAAGGGTCAGCAAAGGGAAGGGCAAGTACGATGGCCCTGGTCCCAGAACATGACAAGACAAGGAACAGACAGGACTGCAGTGGGCTGCTGCAGAGGCAGGAGAGACCTGGTGACAGCTCAACCAGAGTCCCTGAGGCATTTAGAATAATGAGTGCAGATGAACTACAGCAGGTTTGCTTCTTAGGGTGCAGCAGGTGTGTGTGTGGGGGGGTACAGAGCATGTAGGAGACTGTGGGGTCTCTTTCAGTTGATAGTGGTAGGTGCAAATGGGCACAGGTCAGGCTGTCAAACACTGTGGTCTCGGTCATGGTGGGGATACCAGTGGCTTGAGGCGCCAGGGCCTGAATTTCTTTTCTTTTTTTTTTAATCTATTTCTTTTAATTCTTTTTTTTTTTAAAAGATTTATTTATTTATCATGTATACAGTGCATGCCAGAAGAGGGCACCAGATCACATTACAGATGGTTGTGAGCCACCATGTGGTTGCTGGGAATTGAACTCAGGACCTCTGGAAGAGCAGTCAGTGCTCTTAACCCCTGAGCCATCTCTCCAGCCCATGAATTTCTGACTGGACCTTCTAACTGGGTTTTAGATGATGGGGAGACAGGTGAGGTGGGAGGAGCCCAGAGACCATACTAGAAATACACCCTTGTTTGTTCCTCCCAGCAGGGCAAGTCACCTACCTTTATGAGCAATTTGGCTTTTTTCAGCAAACTCAGTGTGGTGTGTCGGCTTGACTCAGGGCCCAGCGGCACCAACCCCTTCAACTTCTCTAGACACAGGCGGAGATGAGCACGCCTGTGAAAACAGAACCATAGCAGCACTTGAGACTTCTACATAGGTTCTGAAGTGTATGACTGCCAGACCCAGCAAAGGCTGGTGCCAGCAATACTGTGTGAGGTCAGGCACCTGCACTGAAACCCAGTGGGAAGCCTTGGAAAGCAGTGCTTCTAGGCAGATTCCAGATGCAATTCTGGGGAGTGGAGCACAAAAGCTGCTTGTATCAGGCACTTTCATCAGCTTCTCCTGAATCAGAAGACGACATGCCCAGGGGAAAATCCTCAGCTTGTGTTTTTCCTCCTAAGTAATCACTGTTTGCACATAGAATTTTTTCCACATATGGGACAAGTGTATCACAGGAAATGCTGACAGATGTGAGACACACTATCCCTCCATCTCAAGTGTACTGGACAAAGGCTAACGTGGAAGAACCACAACCACACACAGATCCTGTGTCACAGAATGACCAGAAGCATAGCAGGGCCCACAACTTTGGATGTTTACAGTCCACTGAAACCTTGGTTTGGACTTCACTCTAAAATGGAACAGATTCCATGAATATGAGAAATGGCCAACTTTCAGGTGTTTGTGCCTTCCTGAGCCATCCTAGCTCACAGGGAATCCTCAGTTCTGGGCTTCTCCATGTGGTTTGGTGTCTGTCTCTCAACCTTTCACTCAGACTCCTTGGGAAGCCTAGCTGAGGCTTACTCACTGACACTATGCACACCGATGACTGCGTCAGCTGTTTCAGTGGACTTTAAGCTTCTTGAAGACAGAGTCCAACTCATCACATCTACACAGAGCTTGGGCCTGGGTAATGCCCATTCCCACACACAGCCAGCTAGACAGAGTGTTTCCAGCTGCTGGGGAACAGGGCAGTGCCTCCTGGGGCAGCACTGGGAAATGAGGCTTGGACCTCATTCGGAGTCCCTTGCCCCAGCTGGATCATGGTGTGCTGAGGGCCTCAAGGAGCACATGTAGCTGACTGATGGAAAGGCCTGGATGCTAGCTGTGGGGGCACAGAAGCTGTGTGTACCATCCTGGTGGTGGATATACTCTGACACAGATTGTGCCATCAGAAGTACTGTGTGAGCAGAGGTAAGATTGGCATTGGCACATGTATGAAAATACCATGGTGAAACATTTATTCACACACTAGAAAATTAATACTAAAGAAACACCATGAGGGCTGGAGATAGTTTAATGATTAAGGGCACTGCTGCTCTTCCAGAGGACATGGGTTTGGTTCTCAGCACCCACGCTGGGCAACTCATAACCAGTGGAAGATCTGATGCCTCCAGTTTCCATAGGCACCTGCACTCACAGGCATATATCCACACACACAGGCACACGAACTCACTCTGTAGACCAGGCTGGCACTGAACTCAGAGATTCACCTGCCTCTGCCTCCCGAGTGCTGGAATTAAAGGTGTGTACCACCACCACCCAGACTGGAACATAATTTTAAAAACTCTAAAAAGAAACTATGAAAAACAAGACACTAGTGACTTGCTTGCACTAGTAACAATAGAGTGACATGTCTTGCTTGCACTAATTTGCCTCTCCCTCTAAAGCCTTCAGACTAATTATATACAGTTGCTTACCAGCCTGCAAAGCCTGTAGGGGACAAGCCTGTCACACTGTCCTCCTGTGATGTGGTTACACACAGACACAGACTGGCAGTGTACATATCTGTCACTGTCCCCCTGGGTCATCTTACTGCCCCATTAGATGGTCTTCTATTACCAAGAGTGGTCTTAGTTCCTGTCCTGGCAGGGGAAGGTGGTGCCAAACACTGCTTCTCCAGCCCCCACCCCCACCCCCATCCCCACCCCAAGCCTGTTGTTAGCAGAGCCACACTGCCTTGACCCTAAGTAATGACCTTGGACAGCCTCCTTCTGGCTCTTTAGGAGGAGTGCTATAATCGGCATGGGTAGACAAAAGGCTTGGTCTACAGAAGCATGAGAAGCCATGCTTTCACCTGCAATGCACTGCACTGCAATGGCGGTGCTTACAGTCAGGAGTGGCTGTAACTAGCAGTCCACCACACAGGTCAACCACAACCCTCTCGGTTGGCAAGTACCCCAGGCCCTATATTTAGTACTTTCACCATTCTACATCAGTCAACGGCTACACAAGCTAACATTACTGTAGTGGTGCAGAGCAGAGGTTGCTTTGCCACTTACTCCCCATGTGACTTTGAACAGGCCACCTAACTCCGAGGCCTCTAGCTCCTCAGCTGCAGAATGTGTGACAGAGTCCTACCCTAGAGGGCCACAGAGGCTCTCTAGAGAGGATAGGGCCTGATATGTTGTATACTGCCTCAGCTGGCGTTACTCTTCCAAGCCTAGCTCTTCTACACAAGGGTAACTGCCTTGAGCAAATATGGACAAGCAGGGTGCTGCAGTGTTCCTCCCAACCAACCACCAGCAAGCTCAGGGGCCTCACCAGGCAGGGGCCGAGTGATAAAACACTCAAAAGAAAATGGACATCTTCTGTCCTTGGAATAGCTAGTAAGCAAGCTAACCCTGCAGTGGAAATACAGGCATCGCTTACTGCAAGGATCAACAAAGTGTTTATAAGCTATGAGTGTAACAGGAGGTCCCTCTGAGGTCCTGTGTGTCATCCAGCAGCAGGTCCAGTCAGGAGGGAGGCATGTACCTCACTTTCCAGACTGCAGGCTCTGGTTTTCTCCCTCCACACCTATTCCAAAGATCATCGCAAAGCAAGACCTTGCTGGAGAACCATGTGGGACACCTGGAGAGCTTAAAACCCCTCCCATAGCATGGGAAAGGTACCACAGTTAGGAGTGAAGTTAAAATAATTTGGGGAGGATTAATGGGAAGAAAACTATCAAATATTGCTGAAGGACAGGAAAATCTGAGTGAATGGAAAAATCCACACATTCCTGGCGATGACCCCTCAAAGCAAAAATGGCAGCATTCCTCAAATTTAATCCAAGTCCACAAAAAACAAAATCCCAACCATTTTCATTTAATGCTGGAAAATTAGCCTAAACTTCACCCAGAAGAATACGTGTGTGAGTCTGCCTGCATTTTGGAAAAAGAATGAGGAGGAATGCGCTGCACAGATAGATACTGAACCGTTGGAAAGCTGTGATGACTAAAAGCAGCATTGGCATTACAGACACACAGCAAGCCAGCAGAACAGACTCTCAAGAAAAAAGAACTGAATTTAGTCAACAAGGGCACAGTGCTGCAGACCCTGGAATGAGTGTGCACAATCTAGCCTGGGAGTGAGCAGGTCACCAGCAAAACAAACCCCAACAGACTGAAGATCTAAGTGTAAAACACACAGGCTGCACAGTGCTGGTAGTTTTGCTCAGTCTTGAAGGATGGAAAACCAAACAGTCATGTGAAAGAGAAATGCCCCAGAGCTAGTGGTGTCTCCCAGGCTGGTACCTTGAATACCGAGGAACAGACTCAGTGTGAAGACTAACAGTGCAGACAGGAGCGGCAGCCTCCAGTGTCCGCCCTGAGCGCCCTGATTTAGGAGCTGTCAAGCTTCTGGTTGAGTGTCAGTATCTCTTTTGTGGAGACTAACTTTTAAGTATGAGCCCTACAGCATGTTGAGCACTTGCTGGTCAAGGGACAGACACCTAACCAGGTTCAAGGTAGCCTCTGCTTGGCTCCTTCACCCTTTATTCCTTAAAGAGTTTCTCAGGAGCTTCCTGGGCACTGGGGCAATGCTGGAAAAGTGCAAGTCCCTGCCTCTGAGCCATTCAAAAAGTGTCTGAATAGGCTCCCTTTGTCCTCTTCCTCACCCACAAGCCCCCCAGAACGCCCCACATGTGGTCTGTGATAATCTGCTTTCCTCTAACTGGGTCACATTCACTCTCACTAACTCACACTGAACTTTCTATGTGACCAGCTCACTACTAAGACAAAAAGATGTCAAGATTTCTGCTTCTCATCAAGCACTGGACCCCAGAGATCATATTGTGCCTGTCGGTGCTGACAGGAATTCCCCAGAGTACGATGCACTTGCCCTTACTTAGTGCTGGTTTTTCATTAGAAGGTGCCTGTCCAAAAAGGAGAGGTGGGCCTTCGGTGCTTGGTTCCCACCCCGGTGTGTGCACAGACAATAGCACAGAGCCCTTCAGGGTCACCAGATGTGCACAAGCTGTACTGTATGGAGTCAGAAGAACCAACTCTTACTACGGAATTAAAGCCTTCTTGAAAGTGAGTAGGGGTCTCAACTGATTGTGTTGAGAACAAAGCCTTGCTGAACTAAATGGAACTCTTGGGTGAAGATTACAAGTCATGATTAAGGGAAGCTGTATTTTCCTCCTTTTCTTCTACAGCGATGTCTTCATCAACTGCTGTAGTGGTGCATCACTCATGTGGCTCAAGCCCTGGAAGAATTCTTATCACCCTGCTGGTAAATCTTTGTAGAAATACGAAGGCAGCAACACACCCAGTGAAGTGCAGAAACAAGAGGACCGCAGCTCAGGAGAAGACGTGGACTGTCTCTTTACTAACCTGGGAACTATGCAGCTGTGCCGCCTTACGATTTCCTTCCCAGGGTTTGATTTTAATATAAAATATATTCCAGTGAGTACCTGCTAGCTCTGTCTCACCCTGTGACTGTTAATTCTGGCAATAAAGTCAGAGCCCCAGACAGGGGGCTGGAAGTTGGAGAAGCAGACAACACAGGCCTCTTCTTCCAGCCTCCAAAGGCAGATGGCACCAGAGGAAAGCACTGGAGAGAAGGTTCTAGTGGCATGCTGTCAGCACAGACTGCATCTGGACACTGATCCCTGTAGTGGATGGATAACCTCTGACTGTCTCCACTCCATGTGCCAAGTCAAGAACTGATTATGATATCTTAGAATAAAATCTGAATGTGGTCAAGGGTGTGCAGAAGCAGTGAGAGAGGCACGATGCACACCACACCCAGGTCCAGTGCACACCACACCCAGGTCCAGTGTACACCATGCCCAAGTCCAGCATACACCATGTCTGACCCTTTTGATATAAAGAATATGGCCATTTGAAAAGTCAGAAACCTAGGGAAACAGTTCTAGAGACCTACAATTATCAGAACAGTCTCCAGAAAAACTACTGGAATGGTCTCTCATGCCAGGCTAGGCATCACTAAAATTCTATTGGGCAAATAAAGATCATAGCACAGATCAAGGATGCTAATCCTCACAGAGCACACACATAAATCTTTAGTCACAGGGTTAGATGACCCTAACCCTGGTAAAGCCCACCACCTGTATCATCCCAGAAAACATGGGTGTCTGCTATTGAAGGAGAAGCCAGAGCTTTCTTCTGGGCAGCCCCTGCTGTGGCACTGACTCCTGATCCCGTCACTACGGCTGGTGTGTTAGCAGCCCCATCACCACAGGGCTTCCTGAAAGACACTTACACCAGGGCAGTTCCCAGACAAGAGACAGCAGAACCCACACACGGCATGCAATGAGAGAAGGGAAGGATTCCTGTGTTCTGAAGATCACCAACCTGTTAGCCACAGGAACCTACAGCACCCAAAATTACACAACCCCCTACTTTTTTTTTCAAGAAATGTGTAAGATTTATGGGGAAATGCTACAAAGCTTTGCTTAGACACAGAAAAGAGGTCTGAGTAAATTAAGAAACACATCGAGTCCTGGATGGAAAGATTTAGCAGCATATACTCTTTTGTTTTTGTTTTATTTTGTTTTTGAGATGGTTTCTCTGTGAAACCCTGGCTGTCCTAGAACTGGTCTCAAACTTAGAGATCCACCTGTCTCTGCCTCCTGTGTGGGGATTAAAGGCCTGAGCCACCACCACCTGGCTTAGCATATACTCTTAAAGGCTAATTATATTGGAATTATGCAGTTTCAACTTTTGAAATCCTAACAATTTGGGAGATGAGGGATTGGAGGACTGATTAAAAAAAAATTGGAACTGGGCTCTGTAACAGGCTACCACAATTCCAATACATGAAGGCTGAGGAAGGAAGACCCCCCAACTTCAAGGTCATCTTGGGCACATGGTTATTCATTGCAAACCTGAGGCCTGCCTGGTCAACCACAGCAAATCTGAGACCATCCTGGATGAGGCCTGCCTGGGCTACAGTAGTGAAGCCCTGTCTCAAAAAAGGGAAGAAATTTGTCATAAAAACCATGGCCATGGAGGCTGGAGAGAAGGCTCAATGGTTAAGAGCACTGGCTGCTCTTCTAAAAGGACCCGGATTTGGTTCCCAGCACTCACACAGTAGCTCAGCACAAGCGTCCATAACGCAGTTCCAGGGGATCTAACAGCCTTTTGTGAATGCTGTGGGCACCAGGCATACACATGATGCACATACATACTCATGGGTAAAATACCCAAACACATAAACTAAAATAAATAAGTCTATAAAACCAAACAACAGCAAAAAACCTTGGAGGGAAGCAGGAGTTAAGTATATACAGGGCAAGAGCCATCAGTGAACACTGGTTTCCTGATAGTAAATGATAAACTAGACGGTTACATGACAGATGTGTCTTTCATGCACACCCTTTATCCTGTGAAACTGTAGGCACTCAACAAACACTGTCACCATTCAACACATCTTTCTTTCTTCTTATGGATGCCAGGTATTTAACTGTTGAGCCCCAACCTGGGGTAAGGCTTGTTCTGAATGTCTAAGGGGCCACGGAAACCCACGTGTATCCAACTCTACAATACCAAAGTGTGTGGGGGATCAAGAGCCCTCACCATCTTTTTATGTGATATATATATATATATATATTATATATATATATAATATATATATATATAATAATGTGTGTGTATGTACAAGTACTGATGTGTGTTTGGTAACCAAGGATGTCAGATCCCCTGAAACTGGAGTTACAGACAGCTGTGAGCAGCCTGTATGTGCTGGGAATGGAATCCCAGTACTCTGCAAGAGAGCCAGTGATCTTGACCACTGCACCATCTTTATACACACACACACACACACACACACACACACACACACACACCCCTACACCTACCTACGTGGATTGGGGAGTGTAACCCTGTTAGGAGGTGATTGCTGGGCTCTAGCCCAGCACAGCATAAATTGGGTGTGGCACCGTACTCCTGTAATCCCAGCACTCCAGCGGGAGAATCAGAAGTTCAAGGTCATCCTTGGCTACACAGTAAATACAAAGCCACCCTGGGATGTGTGTGACCCCTCTCAAAAAAAGGGGGTGGGGAAAGAGGCTCAAGCATACTAGGAGCCAAGAGGGAGGTTTTCTTAAGAGTCAGCTATGAAAGCCAGGTGGCCATAAAAGTAGCTGTAGACCCAAACTCAAGAATTTAAGCCAAAAAAAAAAAAAAAAAAAAAAAAAAAAAAATTTTTTAGAATTTCTTAAGCCATGCACACTAACAAGGGAGAGGGAAAAGGGTAAGAAAACTGTAACCTCTTCCCCTGGGTTGCAGTAAACAAGGTTTGGCTAAATTAAGTGATGGAAGTCTTATTTCCTTCCCTTCCAGACCACATACTCTAAAGCAGGCAAAGACTTATTATGACACTGGAAGACTCAATTCCAAAAGGAACAGGAAGCAGGAGAGTGGAAACGACAAGCACAAGCTGAAGGGCACAGGGAAGCAATCTGAGGTCTATGCAGCCAGTGCTGACTTCAAATCACAGACACAGACACAGACACAGACACAGACACAGACACAGACACAGACACAGACACAGACACAGACACAGACACAGACACAGACACAGACACAGACACAGACCCACAGACACAGACACAGACCCACAGACACAGACACAGACCCACAGACACAGACACAGACCCACAGACACAGACACAGACCCACAGACACAGACACAGACCCACAGACACAGACACAGACACAGACACAGACACACAGACACAGACCCACAGACACAGACCCCCCCCCACACACACACACACACACACACTGACGTTGTATAATGCTCTCACAGAGGAAAAAGGCATAGAATCCGGGAAGGCCTGGGCTGCAATCTGTTTTTCCTTTGCAGTTCTGGGATGGAACCCAAGGCTGTGCATGCCAGGCATGCACTCCGCTATTTAGCCCTGGCCCAAAGGGCAGAAACTGGATAATACAAATAAATGTCTACACAAAAGGTCTCAAAGGAGGGTAACTGGAGGCAGAGACAGCCTGTTTTACCTAGATTCTACAGATGCAGACATTAGAGAATCTCTAAGGAAAGGGAGGCCACAGCTACCACCTTCTACCCGAAGACAATCCTGAGTTTATAGCCCCCGATGAGGGAACCCTCAAAGCACTCAGACTTAGAGCACAGCCAGGGAGCCATGATCAGTGGGGAGGCCCACACACCGTCACACTCGAAACCCTGCAAGGGAACAGAGCTGATGGTTTGGTTTCCTTCCCAGCTCCTGCCTGTCTCGTAAGGGTCTGGTCTGTCTTTTCCTGGGTGAAACTTAAACACAATTCTGGCCTGACTTTCAGAGTGTGGGTCCCCTAAAAGGGTTTGCCGGAAATAGGGCCATCATCAGAGCAGATCTCCCTGTTCACACAGTCATGAGAGGCCTTTCCACTTGGGTGGGTAGCCTGCATTTCAAGTGGATGGATGCTTGGTTGTTCCACGTGCGAGTTACCTGGGGGACTTTTGAATAAGTCTGGTGCAGAGCCCCAGCCCAAAGCAATTAAATCTGATTCACTACATGAGGGCTGGCATTGCCTGTTTGTATAAAGCTCTTCAAAGAATTAGTATTGTTTCTCAGTATAGTAGAGGCCTGTGGTTATGTTTACCTTTTTTTTTTTTTTTAAATAAGTCTTTAATGCTGGGTGGGGTGGTTTTTAATCCCTGCACCCGGGAGGCAGAGGCAAATGGATCTCTGAGTTCTTGGCTAGCCTGGTCTACAGAACAAGTTCCAGGACAGCCAGGGCTATACAGAGAAACCCTGTCTTGAAAAACAAAACAAACAAAACCAACTAAACAAAAAAGGGAAATTTGCTTTAAGTACCTCATGGAGAAGGGAGGTTTTAAGTGTAGGGACCTGGAGGCTGGGTGGACACACAGAAAATGCATTTGTTTTACTTTTTTTGTGATGTTAAAATTTTTTCCCATTAAAATTTTATTTTACAGAATAAGTAGAAATAAACAGCTGCCCTCTGCCCCAGAAAACACGTGTGTGAGTGCGTATATAAGGCATTTGACATATTTTTAAAAAATAGTTAAAAGTTTTGCCAGTGCAACAGCTGAGAACTACTAAGCAACATCACTAGTCTGAGACTAGAGGTTCCGTTAGGAGCAAGCAGCCGTCAGGAGTCAGGCTGGGCTGGGGGCAAGGTAAGGCACAGAGAGGGACAGGCCCCCTCCAGCAAGAAACAGTGCCCAGACCTCCAGTCATCATCTTCCCCATTTCCCATATGCACAGCTGCCTGAATTGAGACTCTCCATTCGCAAGTTAACTACAGGCATGTGTGCATGTGCACACACACTGCACATATTCATGTACGTGTGACTAAGGCATAGGATTAAGCATACCCAAGCTCATGCATCTCTCACTCCCCGTGGGAGTCCTCTGAAGGCGTTCATTCCCAGGAGTGCACGGGGTGGGGGAGGGGGAAGGGAAGGGCAGTGAGCTCTTCATCCACCAGGTAATGCAGGCACACCACAGGTTAGAGGGCCCGAGTGAGCTCCTAACTCAGGGATCACCATTGGGCATGGAGGTGGGAGGATTCAAAACCGTGATGAGTAACACATGCATCAGACTCAAGATCCCCCACTCACCTGTTCTTCTCCATCTCATTGTGAGTTGATCTGAAAGAGGAGCAAGAAAATAAGATTACTTTTGTCTTTCAAAATATCAATTATCCTTGTCTTTCCCCCCTTCAATTATCTTTGTGTTAAAGAGCAACTTCAAGCTGGGCATGGTAGCTCCTGCCTTTAATCCCAGCACTTGGGAGGCAGAGGCAGGTGGATCTCTGTGAGTTCGAGACTAGACTGATCTGTATTGTGAGTTTCTAGGACAACCAGACTTACATGATGAGACCCTTTTTCACACACACACAAAAAAGTAAGTCTCTTAAAGACCAACATAACTGAACTTGTGTGTGTGTGTGTGTGTGTGTGTGTGTGTGTGTGTGTGTGTGTGTGTGTGGTGTAAGTCAGTTAATGTTAGTGTCTTTTTAGTACTGCTCTCCATCTTACTTGATGAGACAGGGCTCTCAAAGAACCTGGAGTTCCACTTTGGCTAGACTGGGACAGAGACCTAGGGCTCTGTTCCCATCCCCACTGTGCTGGGGTCAGAGATGTCTGCTCCCAAGCCTGAGATGTTTGTGAATGTCGGGTGCCTCATCATGTAGCAGCAAGCACATTACCTATACAGCTATCTCCTTAACCCCTATTTTAACTTTTTTTCTACAAAGTAGTAGAGAGAAGGTAGATGAGGGTGATACCCTGGGTTCTTCTAAAGGAGTCTACTTGGGGAGTCAGACAATTAAAAGTCTCTAAAATACAGTCCAAGGGACTAGAGAGATGGCTCAGTGATTAAGAACATTTAGTGTTCTTGCAGAGGAGTCGGGTTCAATTCCTACCACCGACATGGCAGCTCACAATTGTAATTCCAGTTCTCCAGGGGATCTGATCTCTTCTTTGACCTCTGTAGATACTAGCTACATACATGATGCACATGACACACATGCATACAAAGCACTCATATGCACAAAAATTTAAATCTAAATAAATTCAGTTCAGGAAACTCCAGTGACTTATTAAGAGGCATGCAGTCCTTTAGAAGGAGGAAGAGGGTCACTTACAAAATGCGTTGTACAGTGTGGTATGTCCTGGAGTTGCATAAGACTACAAAGCCTTCTTTATGTTATCTGTAAAGTCATGGGGGTGGCCCCATACCCCCGTCCTACCTCCTAAGGGCAGCATATACTAAAACACGATGCTGTTTGGTTACAAAACCCAATTTTAACTGGCAAAATAACTCATCCCCAATTCAGCTCCCTGAATTAAATGCCTCATACACAACCTCTGGAAAGCGGCTGCAGCCCCACAGCAGTGAGATAAAGCAGGGGTTTGTAAATTCAACATGAAGGCAATGTCTAGTAAAAGCAGGAGTTGGAATGAAAAAAAAAAAAAAAAAGGCTAGCTTTGCCCTCCATGCTGCTGTAGATGTAGCAATTTTACTATCTCGTCCTTGGTTAACCCCTCTGTTAAACAGGAATAAAATAATTGCTGATAATCTACTAAACAAGTGGGGATCAATGAGGAGGCAACTATAAAAGTGACTGGCAAGGCTTGGATGAAAGGCATGCTGGATGAGAAACCCATGATTAGTGTTTATAGCTGACGTTGAGGACTAGGCCTTGCCTTGGACTTCAGGACAGGGTTCCACGGTCATGAGAGTCAACATGATTCTTTCTCATGCAGCTTCTCTAGGACAAGGCATAAATGTGAGGAAGTCCAGCTTTGGATATGGACTGAATCTGGACCTGGCTCTGGTGGTGAGCCCAGGAGGTAAAGCCTCATGGCAGCCATGGCAAATGCTCAACCATGTATGGCATCATTGGCACCACAGCCAAGATCACTCACAGCACAGATCAGGGATAGTGTGTCTTCGTTGTCTTCAAACAGGAAATCTCTAGTCCAGCATTTAAATTTCTCTTCTAGGGATTGGTGAGAAGGCTCAGATAAAGGTGCTTGCCACAACACCTGATGACCTGGGTTTGATAGCCAGGACCCACCTAGTGGTGGGAGAGAACCAACTTCTGAAAGTTGTCCTCTGACCTGCACAGGCCAACCATGGCATACATGCACCTATACACATACACACAAATAAATAAATAATGTGATTAAAACAAATTTTTCTTCAATAAGGCCCTGGAAGATTAATTTCTATTAATGAGGAGAAACAAATGAGAAAATAATGATGGCATTTAAAGTTTTGTTTCTAGGACCTCCAAATCAGTTTTCTGTTGGTTCCCTGGGTTCTCCATCAGTCTGATTTATGTCTCTCAGGGGCTGGCAGGGACCCTCTGCTAACAAAAATCTGGCCTGAACCACAAACACGTGGCTTCAAACACGTGGCGTATTACCTCTAACTGGGAATTCTAAGTTCAAAGTCTGAGAGGTAATGGATAAAAGTGGATGACTAGAGCTGGTTAAGCCTTCCCTGTTTAACTACAGAGAAGGAGTGCCCCCACCCTGTCCCTGAAGGTTGGGAGGAGAAAGAGCGCCTGGGGTACTCTTAGCAATAAATTCTATATTCTTTGAAGAGCTACAGACAGACAGACTGACGATTTGTATCTACATAAAATCATTCTGAATCCCCAGGACAAACTTTATCTACAAATTCTGCAGGAAGGGTAACTCTTTGCAATTTTTGACTCAAGTTTTAGAAATGACAGGTTTTACTTGATTACTTAAGAGTGTTGAACACATGGTGCCCTTTAAAGGGGGACAGCCATCTAAAAGGTGTAACCAAAATGTGCTTGGCTTGGGTGAACACCTAGACTTTAATTAAGGCACCAGAGAATGCACGGATACTGTCTGTGTCAAACCATGTTCCATGCAATCATTGGGGACCTGAGGACTCTGGAACGGCCGTAAGGTCAATCCTTCCCTTTAACAGCACCCCTAATAAAAAGATAACTCAGCCAATGCAGTATGTCAGAGAGGCTCCTCGTGTTAGGTTGGCTCCACAGCCACTCCTTATAAAACAGTTCAGTGACCAAGTCCTGGACTTCCTCTTTCACATCAGTGGCAGAGCCTGTTTTACTCATGTTAACGAAATGCACTTCTAAAAACCTTACCACAGGCAGAGGCATGTGTGTGCAGTTCCAATTAAGAAGCTGAGGCAGGAAGAACGTCAGACCCAGGAGTCTGGGCTAGCCTGGGCAACAGGACTACCTTTACTTTTTTTTTTTTTTCAGTGCTAGGGACTGAACCCAGGGCCTTACATGCTAGACAAGCACTCTACCACTGATGCCACGAGAGATGTTTTTCTTTAAAAAACAACAGCAAACAAAAACAAGAAAAACAAAGCTCTTAATTTCAATTCTAAATAATAACTAAGTGATTTTAAAAACCAGTAGGAAAGAAAGATCCTGTCGTTCTAATCCACTGGTTCTCTGGATGATTCCAAAGCAACTAGCAATCACTATGAATGTTGTTATTATTATTATTATTATTATTATTATTATTATTATTAATTTTTTGATAAAAGCAGTTTTAAAACAAATTGCATTTTTCAGTTCCCAGGAGGTTTGAAATAATGGTTGTTTTTTCATTTTTTTATTGTCCAAATTTCCTCAGACTCCACAAACAAAGAGCATAATATTTCAACCTGAACATGAATGTTATTGGCAAAGAGTTCTGTGAATTAGCAGTATCTCCCTGGCACTCGCATTTCAGATTTATGGTCATATGGCCCTGGGCAGAAGGTTGATTCTGGTGACCAGCTACTCTCTGATGGTGCTCTCACTCCCCAGGTGAGAGATGTGCCAACAGCCATGGAAGAGACCATGCCTACATAAAACTACCTGCTCAGACTTTAATCCTGGACTCTGAGGGAGCCTTTCCACACTGACTGCATGACACCCCGTCACTGTTAGTGAAGCACATAGACAGCTACAACAAGTCTATCTCTAAGGACAGAAAGCAAGCCTCTTAACACAACGGTTTTCAGCTTTTCCAAACCTCGGGAACTGTGGCCACTTTCCAGGAGGCTAATGGCAAGAGAAGGACTCTAGTGTTTGACTTAGCATTTCAAGTTCTCACTATACTTTTAAAATCATCCTTCTGGGACCAAGTCACTACACAATGCCTTTCTACTACCCACTCCTCAATACCCCCAGCAATCTTCCTATAAAGCAGGAAAAATAGTGTTAAGGCATTAAAGTCTAAGACTAGCAAGATGGACAATTCCTCCTAATTTAGGAGTGGTATTAATAAAGGCAAACGTGGAATACACTAGCACAGAAACAACAACAACAAGCAACACAGCAAGCCTTTGAAGTCCTATGTGAAACTGTTACAAAATGCAGCAGAGCCCTTTCTGATGCCACTGTTCGACTCATGTCAGTGTGAGCATTCTCCTCAAAGGCTGCAGTGCTCATGTGCAGCGCTACTGACTACCACCGCCAGGCTATGCTAGATGAGAGGACAAGGAAAACCCACCAGGTAATTACCAGGTCAGGTCCACCCCTCCTGTGCCTTAGTCAGGAGCGTGGCCCAGTCTGTGATTCCAACACTAAGGTCTATGGACAGGGTGAACCAAGGACAAGGTGGGTGAGTTTTAGGTGTGAGTGAGAACTTCCCAGGGTTTAGTGGTCTGTACTAAGCCACAGAGGTTACCCTATATGATACTCTATGTGCTTGTGGGAAGTTATTCATGAAGGGGAGGGATTAGGATTCTAAATTGCTGACGAAAATGTCAATGATTTCAGGCATGGCCTAAATTGAATGGCCCTAGTAACACGAACTCCTACCAACTAGTTGGGTTTTGTCTTTGTTTTTTTGAGACAGAGTCTCACTGTGTAGCCATGTAGTCTCACATGTAGCTGGTCTGGAATTCCCAGTGTAGATAAGGCTGGCTTCCAATTCACAGAGATCCACCTGCCTCTGCCTGCTGAGTGCTGGGATCAAGGATGTGCACCATCATGTCCAGCTCCAACTAGTATTTTAAGGGCAAGGAAGAGGATATAGATACAGTAACAGAGGTGAGAGGTCATTGTGGATCAGGGGCTGTGAGTTCCCAGTCATTAGCTAAACACTGCCGTGAAATCCACAGCTTTTGAGGACTAGAAGGTAATCTGTGAGGCTAACAGGAAAAGGCTGACATCCTAATGTTACTTGCACCTTCTCGAAGAAGCTCAATCACTCTGCTCAGCCATCAGAAACAGAGGTTACAACTGGGTTATCAGACAAACTACTGTATTTAATTTACACGTTAAATATAAATTTCTACCACCTGTGTCAGGCCAGACAGCTCGTTTATAAAATCTACACTATGACCAGCAAAATCAACTGATAACATGGTGCATTTTGAATGAAAGGAAACGTGCAAACTCTGTTACTTGTAAAGAAGGCAAAAGTAGTGACCCTGCTGCTATTCCCATGGAGCATGGAGTTTTGCTTTGTTCAGAGAGTGAAAAGTAGAATTAATTTTTAAAAAGGCCATAATGAAATGTAAAACATTTTCTCTTCAGTTTCCTCAACTTAAAAAGAAAAGGCTTTTAGCACCAAGTGTGCATTATCGGACCCTCAACGTATCTGTAGGACTAGAATCCCAGAGTCAACTAACCAGCAGTCTTAGTGTTAGCTACAGAGAAGGGGTACATGGAACAGTTACCTGCTACTGGTGCTGTTTTTCTTGGGCTTGTTCCTCCGTTTGAAGACATCTCTGCCCTTACTACTGTACGGCAACATGGAGGCATATCCATGTTCAGCTTCTAGAAAACCGAGGGGTCCCGTTAATGAATGGGCTCAGAGCATCTGACACCCTGTCCCCGCGTCCGTCCGTCTGTCGGAGTCCGGGGCACCGGCCGGGTGCAGGCAGGCGGAATTCTGAGAACAATGCCTGCTCTTTCCTGGCGTGGACGCCCTCGGTTCGGAGCAGGTGTGGAAGGTTCCAGCTGCTCGCCGCCCCCCGCGCTCGGCTTTTGGGGCGCGGGCCCGGGGGTTG